TCATTTGAACCTAAAAAAATAACGCATTTTAGAAATATTTCTTCTATGTTTTTTATTCGAATCGTTCATCCAAACAATTTTTTATTATAATTTTATATTTTCCGATTATGTCATGATTTAAATGAGTCACAGAAATGTTTCTCGAAAAATCCAGCATGAACTTATAAAGAAAGTATTGGGTGAAGGTATTGATAGTAGTTTTGTATTTAAAAACCCACGCAACAAGAGTTCACATTCTGGGTTTTATAAGCCAATGACTCTCAACTACAAAATGTGAAGTCACATTAATATTAAAGTTTTATTGCACTGAGATTTTCCTTATTTTTATATAAAAGTAAACTTGAAATATAATTATTTATAATTTCAGTTTTATTTATAAAATGTAATTTGAAATAGCCTCATCTTATTTTCGACATATTTCCGAGGAATCTATAATTAACTCATATCGTATGTTCAATGAGCACCACTACTCCCAACGGTGGAATACTAAACGTAAATTCACATGTAACGTGAATTTATCCCGCTGTAAAACACACTTCAGGTTTATGCGATAAACGTTGCATTACCTTTTTTTTCTTTTTTTCTTTTTTTAATAAAAAGTACATTAATACTTTAAATAAATCTCTTGACAGTTTTTAAATTTTAAATTTTAAGATAAATTATAAATAAAATCTAGATACAATCTTAATATGCTACTTTTATCGATATACAATTTGTAAACAAAGATTGTGTAATACATTGATTGACTCAATGAGATTCAAATTCGATCAATCAAAGCAGGAAGTTCAATGATAACAAAAATACACTTATTCTCGTTGTTTCAAACGTGTTCATTGGCAATGGAAACAAATTATTAATCCCATTTTCACGTATTTGCTATTTTATTTAAATTAAAAACTAGAAATGAGCATGTAGGTGGTAGCTCTAGCGTATATGTGAAAAATATTTGTTTTATGTGTGTTATCTATTCTCCTGTTATCAAATCAGTCAGTATATAAATTCTTAGCACTCGATTATAATAACGATAATCGGCTATGTACTTTACGATATCGCACTATGAAGGGTGAATAAGCTCGACTACACTCCGCGACAATACTATAATACAAGACACTACATAAAACCATACAAATCTGTGTTATAAGAGAGAATTTCTCCTTCCTGCGAATAACGTGTTATTGTTTACCTCGGGAGATGTTCTTCAACGCAGTGTTGTAGTTAAAATTTCTAAAAATTATTATAAAAAAGAATGTTAGAGGTCATAAAAAATAAAGGTGGCAATACACACTATTAACGAATAATAAAAGTAAATTATAGTTTTGTCGCGACTAATAATAGGTGCTTTCATATTATTAATTTTCCTCTTTGTAAACTTTTCTTTACAACTTCTCTTGAAGTAAACATTAGCACTCTATACGCAGAAAAGGTAAATATTTTTTAAAACGTAGGTTTTTATAGTTTTATGTAAGTGTCTTACAGTATTATCGCGGAGTGTGCTATCGGCACTTGAAAATTGTCTAGGAAAATTAATAGTTAACGTCAATTAAATGACGATTCGAAACATCTATCCATCACATATTTCTCATTTACATTTAGTTTACATCCGATTTCACGTTATCGCTATCATAAGCAGGAAATTATTCATATGCAGATAACAACCCCACACTACCGGTAAACTGTGTCTTACTTGCTCGGTAAGCCGAGGACCACGACGACGAGGTAGTCGACTACCGCAAGAAGACGGTTGTCCGACAAATTGAAACTGGCCTTCCCACAAATCATATTCGAGGCCGGCTCCGGGTCCTAGAGACGGCCCCTCCCCGGAAGTTATTCGATTATCACGATCATAATGTTCGATCGCACCTGTGTCCGTCTGTTCATCGTAACTGTTCGAATCCATTGTGATTCGTGATTTCTCACGTCACGCCTGTGGCAGGTAGACTCGTCATCCTCTTTGACTAATCCGATACAGGGGATTATTCCGTTAGAACGACGTGTAGGCACGCCGATTGCCTATCCATACTCCTCTGTAGCACAGCAACACACTCTTGTCACTAACAACCTAACCTCGAAATGTCGTGAATCCACGTACGAACAGTGAATCAGGATGATAAACGCGCCGACGGTCTAAGGTGCACAAAGAGAACCACAACGCTACGCGCACATCCGTTTCTTTAGGCGTACTTCGAATATAATCGTTCGTCTCAATCGCCCACTGTAAGCTGGGAGTAGTCGAGAGGCTATTTGTGCACTCCATACTACGTATCGACTAACTCCGTTGAATCACGCATACATATATCGTGCGTGCCACGTTATATCGAACAGAGTTTTGGCTACCCCTACGCATGCTTTAGAAATTCAATTACAGAATGCGGAATGTGTTCAGAACTTGTTTCTAGCTGACGAATTAAAAAACTACATTCCGTTAGATATTTTCTCTTTTATCTTTAACATTTAACTCTGTAAAGAAGATAATATATATAAAGTGTTTATAAAGTATCGAAATTATTGAGATCTAATGAAGTTATTGAGCAATATTTATATTGTACGTCACATTTCAATTTTAAACAGTATTTCTCCGAATTTTATGTATGTGTGTGCGTGTGTGTAATTATCAACTTTTATAGCACGATAGTCTTAATACATACAGAGATGAATTTACGCCCCTGATCAGTTTACAATACATGGTCTATGTCACTATCCAACAGATACAACGTTAAAATAATCTGAAATATATCGTATATACAAGTAAAATACAACATGCATAAAAAATTATGTAAATAATTCGCAAGTAAGAATAACCAAAGAGTTTAGAATTTGAACAAATAAATATTTAAACAAAAATTTATCCTTATCCTTAAATTTGTTTAATTTTTCAACAAGAAAACATTTCCATAACTCTTGCAATTTGAGAGCTATACATATAAATTCCACGAATTCGATAAAGTTCATTCAAATAAGGTTATATAAAATACCGTGTGGAGTACACGTGACGACTTCGACGGCGGAATACTGCACGTAATTTTTGCTTTAGAAATCATTCACTCGGTGGAGGTCGACTCGAAGAGGCTCCATTCAATTTCTCGTAAACAGTAGTTGCGAGATAACCGACCACAACAAGAATAATCAAAAAATTAAGAAAAGGCCAACCTCTCCACCCAATAATTCCCTCAGACTGTAATTTAGCACATGTCATGCTTTATCTATTTAAGCCATACGGTTTTCATACAACTTATTGATTTTGATTTTCCTGATATTTCGACACATGAACAATTTTTTTCGTCAAAGTTTCTGTTACGACTACCTAATTTTATTATTTGTGTGCAGCGATCGTATTTTTGCAACGCATGCACTTGCACTTGTTTATCATAACGAAAGAAATATGTATATGTTACGTTTATCAAACGTTACGATTGATTTTAGTTAAATTGGTTCGACTAGAATTTGTCAATTGCATTATTTTATCGCGTGCTTAAATTTGTCTTGTCAATATTAAAAATGAAATTAACATAAATATCTTAACTTTGCGTACGTAATACGTTGTTCACGCGTTTTCATAATTGACCCAATTATACTAATTTATTCAATAAGTTTTTCCAATTTACTATATTGTCACAAAACCATATTCAATTTTCTTTACACAACATTGAAAACTCGCGCGATTATTACATAAGTATTAAACTGTAATCTACTTTCTTATCAAAATTGCTATTCGAAACTATAAGCCGCAATTTTGCCGTAATTCGGGTAGGTAATATTTTATTCAAAAAAGTAACGCAAAACCGTATCTATATGAAAAAGAAGTTATATAATTTTTTCACGCTAGAAATACATAGAACAATATTTCGTTCATCATTGAACTCTACAATTATAGTAACTAACTGTTTATTTTTAAAACATTTTTACAAACCGTATATCTATACATTATAAAAGTATATGGATTAATAGAGTATTTAAAATCGTCCTCCGTTTATGCATATAACGTTCTAATGAATACTTTTTCTTAGCAGTTACATACGCAGAAGCAGTTACACTTGAAATTTCATTTTAACCAACAAACCAACGAACTTCGTCAGTTTCGTACTTTGATTACACGTTTCTCGGTGCGAGAATCCTATTCATCCTCACTAATAAGTACCACTAAACCTGCAATAAACATATCACTCGATGAACAGCGTGCGATCCGAAGCATGACAAAACGTGCTATCGCATCTACGTTAAATAAAACGTTACGTCTTAATAAAATGCATTACCTTGCTATTACGTAATTCATTTAGTTACTCGTAATCGAGCTACCGTATTAATTAGTTCCTTGTTTTTAAATTTACGATTTTAAATTTAAATTTTGACTATTTTATGAAGCAACGGAACGTGTAATTTCGCTCATGAATGTGCCAGATATATCCGTGGCAACGTTGACTTTGTTCTCCGGAGAAATCTCTATGACACCTTCGTTCTTATTCTCGTCCCATTCGCAGATCGAACAATTTCCACGTTTCGACGACGAATTACTCAGCATGGAACTATTATTCCCGCATTGCTCACAGAGAATATTATAATCTCTATCGTGCGGATCAGTTACGTCGTTATATAGTATAAATTCGGCGGGATAATTCTGTTTCGCATCCCTTTTTTTCTTAGCGGTCTACAGGTTTAGAAAGATCACCTGTTTTAAGGGCTGCTCGGCTTGGTAAATCGCTTGGAAACACGCGATTACGGTTTAAAGGACCCTGTTCCCACGATTATAATCCTGGATATGAGAAACGTTTATGCTCTCTATTTATTATTAATCTTCTAAAACGCGTTACGTATGTTCAATTATGTCTAGACAAAATTGGTTGTAAATGGTTACGACTATCGTTTACTTGTATTAATTGTGGAATGTTGAGAAAAAAAAAGTTCAAGACTTTTAGTATAATCAGCATATTTAACATCGTAACTCAATAGACTGGTTTGTACTTGCAATACTTATTTTTTATTATGCATATATTGTTGATGTTGTATTTACTATTTAATATTTACCGTCACTATTAACAATACATTTATTACAATCGCAAGTTTACTATTCCAAGCAAAAAGTTGTTTTGTCACTCTTCAAACTTTATACTTATTTCTTTCTTTTTCTTTTTTTAACGAACAGGAGACAAAGAGAAGCAAGTTAGTCATCCGCGGAACCGAATCCCTGATTCACTCCAATAAAATTGAATCATAGATTCACACCAACCGAAAGTATTCAACGAGTATTTTGCGCACGAAAAAGTTCCAACCATCTTTTCCCAACATCCTTCGTTTAATTTTGCAACAAACCATAATTAACTGCTCATTATGCCTTCACAACAATCACGACGACGTATCAGCGGTGTCGGTAGGGAAGCATAACAATAAAAATAAACGACAATTACACAACAACCGGAAGCTAGATTTACCTGCGTCGGTTGCACCAAGGTGGGCAGCCTGGCGTTTAATCTTCGCCGACTATCGCGAGACAGGGACCAATAGTAAACAATACTGGCAATGAGCAGCAATAAAAATATCAATAATAAGATGCTCATCCAAGATGAACCTTTTGATTCTTGGACAATATCATTGCAATATGGTGGTGAATAAAATCCGCCAGGGTGATAAGGATAATGACCATATGGATTTAAATGTGGGTAAGGCGGTGGATAATAGATGTAAGGTGGAGGATGTGGCGGATGTTGCTGATGGAATCTACCATCATCTGTTTGACTTTCGGTAGGAGATCTTGATCGGGGTACTGATCGACAGGGCGTGTTAGCAGCACACATCTAAGGTTCAGACGATTTATAAAATTCCCTTCTTTTCACCAGACATTTAGTTTGAAATACTCTTTTCGCAGATTCCGTAAAAATTATAGATTTTACTCTCCTATTGTCAGAAGGATAACTTTCCTTTGTAGTAATTACAAGCATGAGGTTAAGCGTCATTTCTCACAGATAAATTTTGACACAAAGAAAATATTTGACAGTGGCCTAGTTTGAAGAAACTTCAGATATATGAAACGTTGTAAACGTTGTAGAGTGAAGGTATGCAATGTTAAATAGTAAATCGAATCCAAGTTACGGTAATAAGGTTATGATAATTGTACTCACTCTATGATTGAGATCAATGACATCATCCTCGAGGGAGATATCACTATACATATCGTCCGCGGGATCACAGTTGGAACCTCTACCAGAGCTATTAAAACTGCCGCTTCGATAGAGCTGACTGCAAAATAGTAAGCAAACGTCGAACATCGTTAAAACTGATAACGATTTTTATATAAAATAATCAAATAATTTACACCAGGATCTAATATGATACAAAACTCCTTCCATTCAAGATGTTCGTGATATTTCATTTGAATGAAAGATCTTGTGGAGAGTTTTATCCGATTCTTGTTTCTTAATATTAATTTTAAATACAAAATTGGAATTTGTACCGTGTATTGTGAAAACGATAATTAATCACCTTGTAGAAACAAACTTCGTAATATTTTTCCGACGTTTCATTTGGAAAAATTAAGAATAGAACCTTAACAGTAACAATTATAATTTTGAAACGGAACACTTGTGCAAACAGAAAACTACAACGAAATGTCGTAAGTGGATAAATATAGACAACAAGGTAAAACACATTCGGAACATTTGTAGAAGCATAAAAGGAAACGGGATATGGAAGTGCGTGTGCAGGCAACAGTGCCCACGCTTTAGAAAGTCTGTCGTTTTGCGCTTCGTGAAAGAATCGACTTGAAAATTATCAGTTGAATAAGGACATCCTACGGTTCTTTCTATGAATTGTAAATTCTTCGGCGCTGAGTTACATCGTTGCTATTGTTGTCCTATGACGTCGACACATCTGAGAGGTAGATAATGTATCCCTCCTAATTTTCTACAGGAACTTTCTTCAAACTCGATAAATTCAAGAGTACGCAAAATACTTGGTGGAAATGTTTAGTTATCAGTTATGATCGTTTTCACGGTATCGTTAATCAAGAACAACTTGTACAACTCACTGTTGCATTGTTATTGTTATAAAAACCAAAATAATTAACGATTCGTTCTTACCTTGCTAACGCATTGGAGCTAAGTCTCTTCCTTCCGGAACTGAAAACAAAAAAATTAACACGATCGTGAAAAATATGCTAAGATATTCTCTTGCGTAACAGAACTTTTTGCTGTATAATTGTTAGAACGTTCTTAATGAACGTTTCAGCTTTATTAGGTTCAGTTCTTTCGTTTAATATTTGCATCTGATTTAACACGACTATTTTACTACGCTATGCATATTCATATTGAAATGGAAATCACGATGCCTTTGAAACTTTCGAACAAGAGCGAGTACTTCGTTCGCCAACTGGATAAATACCTGAATCGGCAACCGAGCCAAATAACAGTTTCTATAAATGATCCAAATAGACGAAGAAAATAGACGAAGGTTAAACCTCGTTACGAGGTAGCCAAACAGAGCCAAGAAAAGGCTATGTATCTGCTGAAACTATAATCACGAAAGAGAATCAACGAACCGAATGATTTTATTGGAATAACTTCGTCAGGCGTGCAATTTAAAATCACGATCGTTCCCATAATCACACGCAAAACATATGTACGGTATGTTCATTCGTGCCATTTTTAATTTTAAATACTCAACAACATGTTTATGTACACGAACGAAATGTTCTATTCAGAAAACCGCTTTCTTCTTTTCTCCCCTTTGTGTCTCCTAACAATCAACAACTGAAATCATCCGCGACAATCTATAACCGGATACGATGCGAAGAATGCTTCTAACGTGTTCATTTTTAACAAGCAGCTGTCGCTGTTAGGATAATACATGTACGTTACAGTTAATTACAACTGCACAATTAACTAATTGTCTTCGCAGAGCGAATATTATACAGCATAATTCTTGTGACGCAATCGTCGTCGGTACGACGGAATGGGAAGCATTGTATCTAATATTGTTCCACCGTACATACTACTGGGTAACGAGTTCCTGCACATTGTACAAGATCGTTACAGACATGTAGGTACTTGAGGAAATTTAACGAGTTTCTTGTAGATAACTACGGATACCTTTCTTCGGAAATTAAACGAGTTTCTTATCTTCCTCGGTCTATTAACACGACCAGACGGCCATAATTTATCAGACAGTTTCACAGGAGCAATTTTTTCGCACGGCGACCCCGTCATTGTTCCGTTCTTTCGGATCGGCGGAAATTCTCGCACGGCGAATTAAATCTAACGCCCGACGATTATAGTACCAGCGGCGCGTAAACTTCGTTTTTGCATGCCGCATAACTTTTGTGCCACATTCAGAGAACTTTCTTCCGTGCAAAGTTAAGCACATTTTATTACTCCATCTTGGTAAACGAAGCTTCGAATATTCGAAAGTCTGTATATTGAAAATCATAAATTTAAGAAGTTTCAATATTATTTAAAATTTCGAATTTAATTGTCGACAGATAGAATTTACTTCGAAATAGTCGAAATATTAATAAGATGCAAATTTTTGAATTTGTTTATAGAATAAAAGAAAAATAAATAAATAAACTTACAAGGGGGGTGTTCGCCTAAGTGATGTTCGTAACCAGGAATGTCTTCCTATAGTTGAATTAGGACTCCTCGGATTTCTAATTGAAACAAAACAAAGAAACGTAAATCATGTATGTACATTGTATTTAGAAATCCACGTAATAATATGCTGGTATATAAAAATGTAAAATTTTCATAATTCCATCGGTGAACAATCAATATGTGAATATAAAAACTGCAATCAACCTTTAATTGTTAGTACTAGAATTCGTTAGTACTAAATAAATTTATACATTATAACGCTTGACGCAAATACGTACAGCACGTTATCTAAAAATTATTTAATTATATTACGTTGCCGTGACAAAGCATAGAAACTTTAAGTGTAATTGGGAATTAAGGGTTGAAAATATTTTTCAAAACTTTGCACATTCAAATTTCTATTTCTTATCGTGTGTTCAAGATTCTGTGTACTTTTATTGTTAATTTCTTCTAATAATTACGGGATATAAGTTATGATAATACAAAACAAAAGAAAGTAAATACAAGGTATATGCACTTAAGTGCATTATAATTATAAAAAAACGTGTGTGTTGAAAGTTTTTAAAGGTGATCGCGCGTACCAGGAAGCAAAAGATACGCAGTGCAATTTATAAGAAAACGCAAGAGATTATATTAATAATTCCGGAAAGTGCGGAAGATAATAATATGCTGGGTTTTATTTTCTCTTTTCACGTGAAAGTTTTTCTACGCATCAGATCAACCTAGCGAAGCATTAATTTAATCGTGGGAATAGATCTGTCCGAATGATATTCATACAAAATGTGAGGAAACCTTATTAAATTCTCGATGTGTAAAATACAATGTGTATACATGGTTACGCTAGGCAAATACGTTCGACGTGAACATTAAAACCAATAAAACATTCCAATAAAACAGATTTGACACACGCGTAACATACTGAAAATTATACTATTTTCAATAGAAATAAACAACATAAGCATGTCAGCCATAATTACAAATAGAATTATTTCGCACGTGTACTCAACGATCAATGCACCCTCTACTGATCCCATCTGAAACTGAGACTGTTCAACTTGAAAATGTTCGCGCGCAAAATTACCGCGGTCCCTTCAAACCGGCGTATTGCCGATTCTGTTACACGACAAAACGATCAATATACAGGTGTATATATAGAGAGAGAAACAGGAGCCAACGAACTTACTTGAGAGAATTGGTGCCGGTGGGTGAGGGTGCAGAACTGCTACCACCCGGTGAATCCACCCCGTCATCGGCGTCACCCTCGACAGATCCAAAAGCCTCGTAGCTCTCTTCTTCGTCGTGACTTTTCGTTGGTTTCTTGTTACAAGGCGAAGCTGCAGCATCGGCGTGTTCAGGACTAGCAGAATAATGTCCGGAGTCTTGGAGGTTTGGGTTGACCAGATGATGCAGGTCGACCGACATAGAAAGCGAGGGCGGACCGCTTTGACTCCATTCGACAGCACCAGGAGCTCCGTTCACGCAACTACCCTTGTCCTCCGCGCGATATGATTGGCGGGTGCTCGGTAAGATGGCGTCACCATCACGAGCTACGTCACTATCGGACACGACGACACGCGATGTAGCCACGCTGTTAGCGGGTGAGACATTTACGCCAGGCGAACGGGAGCTTACCATCCTTCGTTATCGGCCAGATTGTAGCCGAAGCTCGGTGACCAAGGAGAACCGAGGGATCCCGAGCTCCTTCGGTCACTGACGGCCTCACCGGCAGAACCGGTCGTTACTGAAAAACGTTCTAATGAGTCAGACGCTGAGGAACCGTAAGAACAGAGAAGTAGGCGAGAACAGAAATAAAAAGATGAGAGCTACAATGTAACACGATCTCCGTTTTATCTCTAACATTCTTGACCGGCGAAGTAACGGCAAGTCTCTGAATCCAAGAGAGGTACAGAGAAATTTTTCACCTGTAAGAACACCTCGTATTCTATAGGGCAACATGTCTAGAATCTATGTGAATGTGATTTACTGAACATGCATTTTATGTATATGACTAGAGTCCGACAAAAGCGTGAGAACCGAGCGCACCAGTCATGGTACACTGAGTCAGACTTCGACCATATGAGAAAAATGGAAGGAATTACTTTGGTACGGTATATCTGCATCACTCAAGGTCAAGATACATCTCCTGTTTCTTAGGAAAGCAGTACATTAAATCATATCAATCATTCGGAATTATGTGACATAAAAGGAAAAATTCTGATGATATTTCATGCTCATTGTACTGAATCGTGAAAGAAAATGTATGTCAGACACAACTACGCCGAACATTTAGTACCATTGGAGAATGACTGATTGAGGACAGTAAAAAGAGATATAACAATACGTTGTACGATGAGTCATCTTTTTGATAGATTGGAAAAAGTCAGTATTTTATAATAAATTAAAATAAAAGTTTCATGAGTTCGTCAGGTAGAAAAAATAACATTCGATAAAATTTAAATATACAATATGAGTAATTGGTTAGAATTTAAGTTTATAATAAATGTACTCAGAGAGCATTAAAGGGAATAAACATGGATCATCTATACCTCAGTATATCTTGCACTTCATCATGCGTTATTAATTCGATCGATTTTCATATACGTGTTGAATACACCTCGTACATAGCGAGTGAAGCCATATTAATTAAGATAGTCAACAAGATAATCATGAAACGGAACATCATTCGGTAATAGTTTCCCCAATAATCGCGTTATCATTGGATATCGCTGTTTGAAAAGCGGCCAGAACATTTTCCTTTATATAGCATCCTCCCACTAATATAGACACTAATTTTGGAATACCTGTTGCAACATGTGTTATACTTTTACGGCAAAAACCACGTAACACAAATGACAGTGCGTTTCGTAATTTTGTCCCAAATACTAAACGTATCTTTTATTTGCAACAATAGCGTTCTGTTTCTTCAACATTATAAATGCAAAAATATATAAAAATAAACAAAGAATTTACGTGTGAATTCATTGCGTATCATAAAAAGAAAAGCTAGTATTAAAAGATTAAAATAGCATGATACTATTACTTTAATAATCAGATCGTTTTACACATATTTTGCATTGATTTGTTATTTTTTAGACGTTATATTAATATCGAAGATTTATTCGACGCACGTGCTGTAACCAACCCATTGTATTTAAAGTCTCATAATATTATTAGTTATATCTCGATGAGCTATCAATACGAATGATCAAAGTATTTCTTGATTTATACAAAACTTTCTATCGTGATTCACTTTTTCTTATTTTCTTCGGTACATAAATGAATACACGAAGTCATGCTTTAAATACAAAGATCTTTATTAGCATTATTACGACTAGTTACGAGAATTATCCATGGGATAACTGGCGTCTCGGTTTCCAGGTACTTGTCACTCGGAACGGAATGCGTAGATGCGTTTCGAATCGCTGGGAGATTCCAGTACGCTATTTAGAGCAAGCTCGAAAGTGTAGACGAATATACTTAACGCTCAACAGCGTATCATACCTCTAACCTTAATTATGACATGGGAGTATCGTTAACTTTGTCATTATACAGTCTCTGATGAAAGTAATGTGGTTTTACAAGCTCTTTTTAATTCGGAAATACCTGTCTCATAACGATCATAGTGGATGTATAGCATTTTGCAATTACAGCAATCGTTTCGGACAATTACACACAGCCACGCGTTGTTCACATACGAAATATTATTAAGAATAACATTTACGTCACTTAATGGAATAAAACGTAAATATCATACTTTCTTATTCATCAAGCATTCATCTTGAATACATCTAATGATTCTTCAAAACTATTAATTGTTAATGTATACTGAACATATTAGTGTTTAAGAATGAAATGGAAATAGTTCAATGGATATAGTATTACGCGTTAAAACAATTAATGTACTTATTTCTTGTTAGTCATTGTTTGATATAATTTATTTTTTGGAATGCTTAGAGGGTGAGAGATTTGAAAAGAACCAGTAAGACGTTCCATGCATTGCTATTTGTACATCGACTCACCTTGAACTGAACGATAGGTAATTCCGAAGAAATGCAGGGAAATTATGATCACTGATGTATGAGACCAAATTCCTCAACTTCAAATAATCGGTCGTAATCGAATGAACGAGTTAATTACAGAAGCTCGAATGCGGAACGTATAGAGCATGAAGAAAAGGAAAAATCCGAGGCAGATGCACCTTTCTAACTGTCACCTAAAGTAAACACCTGTATACACCAAGTCACAATCAGGTAGTAGACGCACACAAAAAACCGTCACAGTAAATATCCTCGGTGTAGAGACAGGTATGTTCGCGAAAACACGATAGTTAAATCAACAGCATTGAATTTGAGACGATGGATACATAGACACACCGCCTTGTGGCAATCACGAGCGGACTAAACGAAAGCACAACCGAATCCTAACGCGAAAACGAACGAAACGATCAGCCGAGAGGAGCCATGGCAGGTACGCATGCGCAACGAAACAGGAATGTTCGTGAATACACGTACGTTTACTACACCTATATACACCACACTAAACATCACGGTCGTACCCGCAGGTACGAGAAAGCACCAGTGTCTCTCAACCTACGAAGTATAAACCTGTTCAAATCTTGACTTAAATAAGGCTATTACCCTCTCTTGCGTACACATTTCGACCTATTAACTATTTGATTAATTTCTATAAATAAAACTTAATTCCCTTTACGTTAGAGTATGAAATAATATTCTCATAAAATTAGCCGTTTTTCATAAAACACATTTATATCTCTGTTAAAAATATCTATTTTTAATGTCTCTTTATGATGTAGTAACACCATCCGAATTTTTCTTGTAAACCTCTTTATAAACCAGTTCTTGCATTTGCATTCTGAGCAACATTCTTCTGTCGGCAGGCAAAGTTCTTATATGGGGTAGAAGACTCATAAGGAAATAATAATTATCATCAAAACGGTTGCCTTCTAAGGGATCTACTGGGAGACCAATGTTAGTGTCATTGTCACCCATCAACACCTGTTCGGGAGAAATATTTTGTAACATCATCTCGTTTTCAGTAAGATTGTCGGAAACGCTTTGAAACTCGAGATTGTCAAAATTTTCCTCGGGTTCCTGTTTCACATCTATATGATTAATACTGTCGATCTTTAATCCATTGTCATTATTTATCGACAGAAGATGATTCGCAATCGTATTTCGCTCATCTACATTTCTATTCGCTACCGACGAACCATTCTGCATTAGCGTTCCATCGCCTTCACCCTCGCTAGGTACGCGATCATCATCTTGACAAGAGTTGCTTCGCTCCCAAATGGGGGGACGGGGTAACATTTGTTCTTTTAAAAACTGTAGACTTTTAAAATGTATCCATACTGGCCTATTTCGATGAAATTTACTTTTGCGATAAACTTGGTCTTTCTTTAATTCCGCCCGAAATGTATCTCGTAAACCTTTCCATTTTGCTTTTAATACTGGCTCTGAAAAATGTGAGAACAGTATATTTAATTGTAATTCTACAACTTAAACCATAAAATATACATAATAGCCACTATACATATAAATGATATATCATTTGGTATCTCTACTTATATATTTTACGGTTCGTATATACATGTAAGTATATATTATTATAATAAACTTTGGCCTGTATAAAATGTAATTATGAATATCAGTTTAAATAACAAATATTACAAATCACGTAAGTGATTCATAAATGCGATAGCCGAAATTTATTGACTGTGCTTGCGCGCATGCGTCTTTATCTAACAAGCTTGTACTTGCAATTTAAATCTTGCCGTGTTATAATACTGTAAATAGCAACAAATTGTAAGTTATTAAGGGTTTGTAAAATAATATTCTATATGATTGTAAGATTCTTAGATTAAATTAAGTATGTAAATTGATTTAAAAGGTAATATACTCAGTAATGCAGGATGGTCAAAAAGTGAGGTTAACTCAATCGCTATTCGTATGAGCGAGTATACTGCAAAATACTATACTACGGAAAAAGCAATATTTCTACTTTAAAATCATGTATACATATTTCTAGTATAATAATCAAGAAAATTATAATGTAAAAAATTTTTTGTATATGAAAGAAATTTTTTATATATTTTACGTAATCATAAAATTTTAATACGTAGGCAAATATATAGTGAACATGTCAAATATTTTTTTAAATAAAAAAATAATCATTTTATTATGTCAATAATGGTATTAGTGGTATTTAAAGCAAATGCTTTTTGCTAGAAGTGGGATAAAAAATTTTTGACTACTTAGAATAAATCACCAAAATGCGCGCGCGAATGACATACATGACAAACGATTTCATCAATGCACCTACTGGCCAACTTGAATATCGATGCTATCTCCATCCAAACGCGGTTCGTCACTTCGCGATTGTGATAAGAGATATGCCTTTGGTTCCAAAGTGCCGGCCGCTTATAAACTTCGGCGATTAGCCGATTCGCGTCCATTTTCACTTCGTCCCTCATTTTTGCCGGTTAAATAAAAGAGCGATTCTCTGTAATTTTAACAGGACGAGAAACACAGTATTAGCTTGTCAATCCGATAGGAACAAAGTACAGGCGAATACTAGCGCTGGGATAGCGATTAGCGCGCAGGACGCTCTCGGGTAACGATCGATTCGCGTTTCGCCCTCATCTTGCCCTTGCTAGCGCGAATAATTTCGTTTTTCCCTTCTTACAACTAGCAACTTGCAATTTATGTATCAATTTCACATCCAAAATATAAATTAACTGATGCCCTATTATCTCAAAATTCTTATATATCAATTGTACAAAAACTGTTAAATTAGAAAATATTAAATATTATTTTGAACTTCAACAGAACACCAAAGTGGCAAGTATTCTTTTCGAATACGAAATATTTTATAAAAATATGAACATTATAACATTAATATTTTCATTATTAGGAGTAAATTTACAATATTTTATGAAATAAATTATTTATCGCTTGATACCCTAGCATGCTTGGATATAAATATAATCAGTAAAATACTATAAAAATCATATATATATGCAAATTTTGTACTATAAAAGATCACATATACGGAATCTATATTTTAGGGTATACATTTCTGATGTTGAACAATATGAATAATTTTGAACTAATAGCACAAGGTGCTGAAGCACGTCTATACAAAGGTGATTATTTAGGAAAGTCGACATTAATCAAAGAAAGGTTTGAAAAGAAATATAGACATACAGATTTAGATACTCGTCTTACAAAAGATCGAATAAGAGCTGAATGCCGTGCTATAATTCGTGCTAAAGCAGCAGGTAAAAAAATAACATAGATAATGTGGTAATATCATTCTAATTTGATGGAACACATTTGTACTTTCTTTTTGTTTAAGGAGTAGCTACACCAGCTATATATTTGGCAAATTTGGAACGACGATGTATTTACATGGAGTATATAGAAAACGCTACAGTATTGAAAGATTTTATTGATAAAAGCATTTCGAAGAAAATTAATGTCGATCGTTTGCTAAATTTTATAGCACAGGGACTTGGAGTGCTTATTGCTAAATTACATTCGAAAAATATAATTCACGGGGATTTAACTACATCGAATATACTTTTGCGAAATATTGATGAAGAAGTAGATTTTGAAACATATGATGGTATGCAAATATAGTATTGCAATTCATGGTACCTTAGTTATTAACATTTTTTTTTCTCCCTGTAGCAACAAACAACTTTGTTATAATAGATTTTGGATTAGCATGGATAGAGTCAAGCGCAGAAGATAAAGCAGTTGACATGTATGTTCTCGAACGAGCATTATCAAGTGCACATTCAGAAATACCCTTTTTGTTTTCAAAGATATTTCAAATTTATCAAGAATATTATACAAATAAAAGTCAATGTAAAGAAGTCATTTCTAAATATAGGGAAGTACAATCACGAGGACGAAAACGATTAATGATCGGTTAATTTCAATATATTTCATATAAATATATTAAACACATTTTATTCACATATTTTTAATAATTTATACATGTAAATATATGTTAAATAAACACTCTTATATGAAGATTGAGCGATATTATTTAGTTTGCTATTTATAATTTCAAAATTTCATATTATTTGCTTTCTTCATTTCGATTATTTTTATTTAAATACTAATAATTTTAAACAATTAGCAATTTCGTTTTTTTTTTTAAAAATAAACTATTTTAATAGTGAAAATAATATTGGGTATACAAATTTCATGAATAATACACAAAAGTATTAAATCTGATCAAGTATTGAGCAATATAGTTATTTAAAATGTTTATTTATATTAATTACCTGCATACTTATATAATCTTATTTGGCATATGCAACATTTTGTTTTCATAGCAATTTTTTACAGCACTTATTTATATTTATAGTATGTAATAATGGATTTAAGTTTGAAATAAAAATAATTTACAACTAACATTCAAAAACACTATTTTTAGTAACAAGTTCTTGATTTTTAGAATGTAATGCACAAGTTTCTATGTGGACAAGGAAAGTTTTAACGATAAATAGTTCTTATGTAATAATACTTAATTACATGTAACAAGTTATGCAAATAAATCATGAAAAATTCTATTGTATATTTCTTAAATACACTGTAAATCTGAAGTGCATGTAGTCTATATAGAAAGTAATTTTTTCCCATGAAAATGTTTATGAGGTAAATTGCATATATGCATAAAACACTTTTTTCTTGAAAAATATATGTATCTGATGTTCTTATCAGTCAAGTCATCATTGGTATAATTATAGAAATGATCAATCAAAATGCAACCCTGAATATATAATGATCCAAGTGACCTATACATAATAATTTCATTATGGTTATAAATAAAAAATTTAAGCAAAATAATATTAAATAAGTTTAATTACCAAAAAACCAGCAAATGATGTCATAAAACCTTCTTTAGTTAATTCCCATACACCACCAAATTCTTCCTCGTCAATTTGTTGAAAATTGCTAAAATATAGGTATGTAACACCTGCATTAACTAGTACAAATCTGAAATACCAAAATACAAATTTGAAATATGTAATTATGTATCTACAATTACATATTATTCGTCGTATATGTATATCAAATGTTTTTGTCTTACAATAGTAGAGCTATAAAACCTTTTAAAGGTATAAGACCCCATCCTATACCAACTATAATACCAATTGCTTGTCTAGCCCAATATATAACGTCAAGAAATTCTTCCTACGATGTATAAAATAAATATTATAAATATATCCATGAAAATAAATACAAAATTCGATTAAAGAAAATGTGGTTATGTTTACTTTATCTGGCCATTCGGAATTCGCTGTTATCGCACGTGTCCATACACTTAATTCGCATTTACCACCATTTCCAATCTTTTCAGATTTTGAGCGCGACATTTCTACACCTCAGCTTAATAATATAAAACTCATTAACATTTCCTAGATAAAACGAATGGTACACACTTTATTTCCTTAAACCCTATCTTTCGCTGCTACACTTCTATCTCTTGAATTATAGAAATGTGCCAGATTTCACACAATTTTTCACGCAAGCGCATTAATCCGATTGCACTTTATACGTTTCGTGTAACTTTCTTATTCATGTTAATGAATATGACATATGTACATTTTGAGCATAATTTAATACTTAATATTTGAAAACGTTATCAATTACGCCTACATTTAAATATTTCCTACAATCGCTTTAAAATTATTTTATTTAAATATATTTTAATACTATGATAATTATATTAACTAATATGATTTGAAACTTTTAGTATATGAAATCTATTGAAGTAATAACAATAAAAATATAATATTATTAAAATAGATAATTACCATATCTTTTGAAATCGTAGAAGTTATGTACATATACAAAACTGTTATTGTATACAGTAAAAAGAACAGTCCATGTTGCATATATAATAAGAGTCTTTATTTACTAGTGAATTATATTGCATGGTTAATAAGCCACGTATCGAAATCTGCGAATACTGTTATCAGTTTACATTCATATATGTCAACAACATATTAGATGATAGTTGATATATAGCAAAATCATTAGCAGATTTTGAGACGTGCTTAATCGTACAACATGTGTATACATAAGTATAAATACAGGAATGTAATGAAGAAAGTTAGTATGACACAACACACACACACGCGCGCGCGTATAAATATATCACTCACCCATTAGTGCATACATACTGCAATTGTTTTCAATATATTTACATACTAAATATTGTCTGCTACAAGTGACCTTTTTTGGTATACAGAATAATAATTAGTATCAAACTATTAACTGAAATAATAAAGGTGTAACATATATATATGTATAATATAAATGAATTATATTTTGAGGTTCAAAATTTCTTCATATTTAATACTTATTTCAGAAAGTAACTGTTATATAAATATTTCAAAAATCGATTAAGTTTTTGTTAATATACAAAATGATTCCATTTTTGGCACAGTAGTTTAAATTTTAATCCTTATATTACATTTGCATGATCTGATATATTTTCTTCATAAACATAGAATAGTTTTATCTATATCTTTTATACTTAAAAAGAAATTCACCTACAGCATAGTATGTATACAGACCATTGATTATATGTACTTATATAAAAGTACAAGTACATATATGTTTACAAACACTATTTTACTATGAAAGTAACTAAATTAAAAATTTCTCAGTAAAAGTACAATTATTAAGTAACGTCATAATTAGCTACCTTTTATGATACTGCTTTGTTACATTATTGAGAAATCTTTTAAATTGATTTGATAGTGTATGATTTGATGAATACTTTAAAAATTTAGTTTGCACCTAGCAAGATTTAGAATGAGTAATTATCTAATAAAAAATGTCTTTAATTAAGTAATTATTAGATTTTATGTTCAATCTATATGACATTCATGATTTTAGCTTTAAAGATTAGTGTTGAATGTAATCCAGATCTGCCAGAATACAACAATCATATTTTTCTTCACAATTTGTTTAATTATGTTAGGAAAGAATATTTTCAGTTTAACATGCAATATTGTTATGGAGCATATATTCCTAAGTATCTGTATGCAAAAGGACTTACACATTTTGTTAATTATGGTTATTAGTACAAATCCAATATCAAATAGATTTAAATATTTATTTGTTTATAAGAATTGCAACTGTGAATATGGATAATTTACCTATGTGTAACATTTTATACATGTATATGTACATAGGTCTTTTGCTATTCAAGAACTAGCTTTTAATATACTTATGTATGTAAATTGAATTGTATTACATTCATATTTTGCCATAATTTTTACATCATACAAAAAAACTGTTTGTAGAAAAGCTGCTCCCTTGTAAGAGGGTATGCATAGCAGAAAGACTTTAGTAAATTATTCTTAATTATAATACATCTGTAACAAGATATAAAATAGCAAATACGACATACAAATATTGCAAAGAAACTCTTGAAGTATAATAGTAGTCTGCAACATCTTTTTTCTGATTAATTTACTTGAAAGTTTAGTTTAGTTTCTTTTTTCGTGCATATCATATATGTGATATATGCATTATATAATGTTTATATATTTAATTACTACATTTTTTATAAATCAATGATAATCATTGATAGTATTATATTCTCCATATAAAATTTGTTTAACTTTGTCCTTATTACATGGAAAACAAAGTATTTGTTATTTTATGTTATGTTATATGGCACACTTCATACATTTTATGATTCTTGGAATTTTCTTTGTGCATTTATCAATTCCAGTTATATTTAAGAGACATTAATTAAAGGATAACATAATTTAATAAAAGTTGTATGAAAACAAATAAAAAAATTATAAACAATAACTAATCTGATCTAAATAAAACTTTGCATTTTTTAATGATCACAGGTCTGTTGCAACTGGTTGCATAGAAAACAAATGAAAATAAGTATTACAAAATTGTGAAAATATATTTCGGAAGATATTCCGAGTTTGATTACATAATACGAACAAATATTGTTTAATGTTAATAAAAATGCATTATGCTCACCTTTTCGTAGCAGTCATACATGTAGAACAATTAAAATCATGTAATTTGTGATCTATGATAGAGTCTATCAGTTTAAATGTACAAACAATATATAAATATTTTTATGTTAAAACAAATGTAACATGGTTTACCTTTAAAATAATATTATGAAAATATCAAACAGACCTTTCTTTTAAAATCTAAAGGAATGTAGAAGCATTTAACATGTTATTTATGGAAGTAAGTGTTTTAACCTATTGCAATGAAAATATTAAATGATTGTAGTACATTAAATACAAATACTTACTTCTAAATTAAGATAAACCACATTAAAATTGCAGCATTATAAAGAACTATAAGATTATTAATGCCACCTTAGTAATGGTACTTTCTATAGAGACCCTCGGCACCCTGTCTCTAATATCGTTTTAGCACTTGATTTTGCATTTGACTTAATATGGCACAAGTACAAACGTGTCACATTGCATACTTTTGTGCCCAATATAAAATATTTTGATAAAAGATATCTTAATAAGTATCCAGTCATTGACATTGACTTTTAAATTATTACGGCATTAAGTCACAATCAAACATCAACTACGTCATTATTGTAGTTGAAATTTGAATCACGTAAAAATGAAGTACGTCGAAGTTTAAAACTTATGCGATTTTCTTCAACCGTTTTCGGCACTTCCGTTACCTGAAAATATGACATTTATATGCGTAAAATTATATTTCACATACAATTATACTTGAAGATATTATTAAAACCTTTTAACAATGCCTTTGCGTGTTATGCGAAAAACAAACTATATTAACAGAAATTAAAATTATCAGCTCATGTTAATGGATTTCAAGCGCAAAACAAATTTTTGAAAGCTCTTATAAAAGGATATAAGCTATAAAATTTTATGTTACACTCTGT